TTAGTTTTTAGTGTATTTAGTAACAAATTATGATTTTTTAAGTAATCGTTTAAATTTTCTGGCTCTACAAAAGATTGTATTTCAATTTGTTCTATTTGATGTTATTTTTAAATTGGAATCATCAGCGTACAGATAAAGCTGACTCTGTTGTTCTTATAAGACAGAACCTTATTTATATCCTTGAGATATATTATAAAAAGCAAAGGTCCTAATATTGATCCCTGTGGGACACCATATTTTACTAGTTCCAGGTCTGAAACTATATTCGTTGATTTGTTATTCGGTGACAAATGTTTTACTTCTACATGCTGATACCTATTTACCAGAAATGTATTAAACCAATTTAGAGATGTTTTTGAAATGCCAATATTCTTTAATTTTTCTATTAAAATTGGATGATTAACACTGGCAAATGCTCTTGAGAGGTCCATAAATATACCAGTTGTATGTTTGCCCTCGTCAACTGATTCTATTACTGATTCTATGAAGGATACTGCCGCACTAATAACAGATCTTCCTGACCTGAAACCGTGCTGTAAGTCATCAAATAAGCTATGTTGCTCTAGATATGATGTTAATTGTACAGAAACTATTTTCTCAAATATTTTAGAAACCGAAGGAAGCAGAGCTACGGGTCTATAATTAGAAACATTTTTAGGATCATCTTTTTTATGGATTGGAATTATTTTGGCTATATTAAGTTGTTCCGGAAACAAACCAGAAATGAAAGAAGAATTAATCAGGTGACATAAAACTTTGGTTAAGTATTGGCTTGCTCCCTTTAATACTTATACAAAATAATCAACCATATAGGCTACAATTAAAAAAATATGTTACTTTTCACAATTTTCTTAGAGTATCACAAGATTACCATACCATTGTTAGGATACACAAATAACTTTCAAACAAAGGGGGATTCATACGACAGAAGGGCCATAGAGTAACATTTTTTTTGTAAAATTTTGACTTTTAAACTCAAAATTTTGACTTTTATTCTCAAAATGTTGACTTTTAATCTCAAAATTTTGACTTTTAATCTCAACGTTTGACTTTGAATCTCAAAGTTTTGACTTCCAATCTCAAAATTTTGACTTTTAATCTCAAAATTTTGACTTTTATTCTCAAAGTTTTGTCCTAAAATGTCAAAATGTTGACTTCTATCTCAAAATTCATTAAATTCTACAACGTCGTATTTATTGCAAGCGCTTTTACAACTGGAGCTCAATTACTGTTTAAATCATCTGGGTTTGAGTGTTAAATTACCACCAAACTCCTTAAGTAGTCCTACTATAACCATAGAGATAAATAGATAGACTGGAGTCACTACTCTCTGGTTGAACAAAAGAGAAAAGCGTGCCATCCAAGATTGCCGCTTGTGCCGTTATGTTGGTCATATTGTCTCAGTTGGTTGTACTTGTAAAAAATAACTACATCTTTGAGATTAAAAGTAAAATTTTTGAGATTAATACTCAAAATTTTGAAATTAAAAGTCAAAACTTTGAGAATAAAAGTCAAAATTTTGAGATTAAAAGTCAAAATTTTGAGATTAAAGTCAGAATTTTACAACAACAAAAATGTTACCCTTCTACGCCGTCGTAGATTCATGTAGCGCAATGCGTTTTCATTTTATATATTTCTTGAAAATCTAAATTTAAAAAGTTTTCTTTCGATAAGTAGGTACAGTAGTATTTCCTAGTTTTCCCCTTCTTTCAAGAACATTTTTAATTCCTCAAAGTTGCCCTGCTCTTGGCAACATAAAGTTGTCCATGATTATAAATTACTAGTCTTGATTTTATTTAGTGATTGTCCTTGAGCTTAGTATTTTTCATACAAAATGCTAAGTTGAATCTTATTTTGTTGCACTGTCAATTAAATGCTAATGTGGTTATGTGGTGCCTCAAGGCAGCTTTTTTTATCCAAGGGATCTGGCTATAACCACCTTCATTGATAACTTTGCATTGTATCAAATTTGTAAACATTGTTGTAGCTTGCACGGTTTATTAGTCCTTTTTTCTGTTTTAGCGAATGTCCCATAAAGGAAATTTGCTATTACCGTAGGTCTCATGGGAAGACCTGGGCCCGGGACCGATTTACTTTTTCGTTTTGATGTCCCCAGAGGCCAAAAAACACCATCTGTTAAAATTCATATATGTGTGTCTGTTAGCTTGATAACTCGAGGAAAAATGATGCGATTTCAATGAAATTTGGTACAAACATGTAATTTGAATGAGTTTGTGAACCCGCATAATCTGACCATGGGAACGGGGTTTTATGGGGGAGTTTATAGGTTACAAATTGGTTTTCCTTGTTTTTGACCCTGAAAAAATAAAATTTCCCAATTTCTCTCTAGACCATTTTGAAGAGCTTGAAAAACAAAAAAATCAGTACATCGAAGTGTTTTTGTACGGTTATTGGTTACAAAGAAAATTTAAAAAGTTTAAATTTAAAATTCCAATGTAATTCTTGATTCCTTTATGACACTTACTCTTTTACTGGTTTTCAAGATATTCTAAATTAAATTTATCACATACCGTAATGAGATTGGTATTCCCCACCATAGGCCTGTAGTGGTGGGGGGGGGGGGCTGCACCCCCAGCTTTTGGGGATGTCTTTAATAAAAATACAATTTTAGCTTATTTTTAGACTTCATAGTGCTGATATGTTGTGCATGGCCCCCAAAAATGTTGATCACGGGATGCCTATGTTCCACACATTGCCTCGGCTGAAATCATAATAACCCATCTGAAGTTAAATTATATGCATCTTGAAAATGATTTCACCATTACAAGTTTACCATGATTATTTCACTACAAAAAAAAGTAAAGAACTGTAAACACTGCATTTTACAGCAATTTTTGTCGAATTATTTATTTTTTGACGATCAAGTATACATTGTAACGTAATGATTTTATTGCCCAATTACTGACCAAGAGTCTGATGTAAACTTAGTTAGTTTTTCAATTATTGTAAAATGAAGGCCACCCCTCCCCACTGCTGAGGCAGGGTCCCATATCCAGATTGCACAGATGGCAGCAGACTAGCACATTGACAGCAAGTTCCACTCTATTGAGTGATAGAAGAACAAACTAAAGGTGAGTCACAACTAGAAATATTGCAGAAAGTTAGTACCTATTGATAAGACTTCAACATGCATTTTGAAACAAAATTTAAAAAGATGACATTTTAAATAGAAGAAGTTTAAAATTATTAAGCTTTATTTAAAGATGAGGTTTGTGTCTGGAACACAATAAATTTAGTATTTTAGGACCAATTATGATATTTGGCTTAAACGTGTAGGGCTGGATACATTTAAATCTTAAACGAGTTTGTGAAGGAGCAGGATCGGGTCTAGGTAACAAATATTGAGTTAAATAGGGTTTCAATTTTTTTTATTTTTCCTTATTTTAATGTCAAATTTTTATTAAAATCATCGTATAGAGCTTAAAAAAAACTTGTTTTAAGCGTTGTATGATATAAGGTTTACAGAGAAATTAAAAAAAAACTGTGCATTTAAAATTCCCCCTGCTATTTTTATAAAGGTATAAGTAAACTGTTAGTTGTAGTTTGCTTGCTTATGAATGGATTTTGAAAGATTTTTCAAATTTTTTTTTCATTCTCTGTAGCAGCAAACCTAGGTACTTATAAACCAATGTGCGTTATTAAAAAAAATCTGACAAGTTTAATGAAATATTTTTAGACAAATGAAAATTTGTTTAGTTTGCTGGTTTTCTGCGGGGACGGGTGGGGGTATTTATTAATTCTGATAGAAATTGTTCCCCAAAATCTCACTCATCATTACCAAAAATTAACCCAAACAAAGAATTAACGCTCTCTTGTAGGCTTAGTTTGTTGTATATACAAAGTCTGTTAGCTAAATATCAAACCTAAAAATAATATTTGTATTGCTAAACAAATGATTTTAGAATGTTGACTTTAACATCCCTCCTCGTAATGTGTTTGGTGGGACTGTTGGTGTTGTGGAGTTGGCTGCACTGGAAGTATCACAGGCTTATCAGGGCTGTCAGCAAACTGGAAGTACCTTTTCCCAGTTTCCCATTTCTGGGACACATACCCTACACTCTACTAGGACATGAAGGTACATATTGATGTTCAATGTGGTATTTGTACAGATAATTTTAATTTTCCATGTCATGAAGTACTTATGTTTACTCATGCTAGCCGTATGCTACATATTAAAGAAAAGAATATTGCAAGACATTTTAAAAGAATGCAGTTTATTTTTTCTGCTAGCTAGTATAGTGTGCCTTGTTTCCTTACAATGCATTCCCAAAGAGCATTCCAAGATTATTAAACTAAGAAATAAATGTATTTGAATCACTATCCAACTACTTTATAAATTTTCAACTTTAGAGTAGGAAGTGAAATAAACATTAACTTAATAACTTACAATTTGGTTGGTGGATAGTAAAACGGTTAAACTAATTATATATTATGCAATAATAAAGCGCCTTGTAAATTTGCATTTTGTCCTTAAATAATATTTAAACTGAAATTAATGCCAACAAAATTCCTATGAAAAATACTATAGCCACAGAGAAGTAAGGTACAGAAGAAACATTCCAATTGTTACACTTAGGTGGTGTCTAGCACTGGTGCTGGTGTCTAGGGCAAAGTCCCTCCTCTGCTTCCCTGCCCTCATGTAGGCTACTACAATGCTCACGGTGGAAGAAGAACAAGTGCCCTGTACGATAGGAATTTCCGCACAGTAAGATTACTTGCTGTTTTTTGGGCTTCTTCACTTGTCACAAGTATACTTCCGGCACAACATACCAGAACTGAAAGTGCACGGTCGTCGCACGAGCGTATTACCTCTGTACCTTACTTCTCTGTGTTGTAGCTGAAATTTAATCGGTGAAATAATATCTTGTTTAGGCTGTTGGATTTAGAAATGCATTTACCATCTCAATGTCAATGTTATAATATAAAGATTGAAAATCTTTAAATTTCAGGATTAACAGAACGGTTTTTAAAAGGGGGAGTGGAAATACTGCAAAGTGGAGGACCACCAATGACTTGTTTATGGATTGGTCCTTTCCCAATTCCAATACTTGGTGGGGTCAAAAACATACAGGTAAATAATAACAAATGCATACAAACCTTGTAATAAGCTAAATGCTTATGGTGTATAGTCAGACTGGATTTTGCCGCCGAAATGATCATTTTGGGCCGCCACTAAGTAACGCTAGCCTCTTCCTCTCTCTCTCCGCTGATTCTTTGTCTCACTCACACTGCTGTGGGGTCCCATTCACACCGCCACGCACCAGCGATAGTAGCACCTTTCCTACTTAGCGGCCGTCGCGGAAACTTGCCAAAATTAAAAAATCCCAGGCTGAATTTTTAACAGGGGCATTTTGCTTCTTATAAGGTTTTTTTTATTAACTGATAATACTGGTTAATATTGCACATAGGTTAATTGGTAAGTCATCCCACCCGTTGTGTTGGTTATTCAAAACAAAAATCTTAATAAACGATCAGCAACCTGGCACATGGTTTCTCCTATTATCTTGTCAACAACCTTTATCATGGGTAAGCAATGGAAGTAGGTTTGGTTTTTATGGGGGAAATCAGAAAAGTCACAATACCGTAGTTTGAACTCTTATTTTTACAGCAATGGTGGTTGTACCAACTTATTTAGAAGTATAACATACTATATTTTAATTTAAACTGTTCAGGCTGTTTTTGTTAACTTTAAAAATAATAGATAGTTTATTTCATCACTAGGGTGTTAAGTGACACTTTTCAACACGAGCTCAAGTTTTACTATTGAGGCAAAGCCGAGGTCGGAAAATGAGCGAGAGTTGAAAAGTCACTTTTTGCCCGTGTGATGAACTATATTTTTCGTCTTATTGTAACATTTAACTGACTAAGATGGAAAACAAGAAAGATTGTTGTCAGTCAAGATAACCTCTCAAAACGACTTTCAACTTATTTTTAATTTTTATAATGCATACAAGCAGCTGTTAATAAGTGATTCCATATCATTTAATAATTTTGTTTATTATGATTGTCTTAGTATACATATTCTAAATTTCGAACTATTGACAAGGATGCAACTATAAGCTAACTATACTGATTAAATCAATTGAGATATAATTTCAAAACATGCGATGCGATTGATGCTTTATTACGTTCAATGAAGTTTAGCACTGAGTTTACAACAGCTAACTTTTACAACCTAGGGAGTAAAAGAGCTAATCTAGACCATCCAAGTCTATTAGAGATCGATGCCTAGACACATCGATGAAGAACAGCTGTATTCTATTCAGTATGACAAATATATTATTTTATTTTCAATCATGTGGTGAATTATTTTAATTTTCATTTACAAAACATTTATATAGCACTTTGTCTAGCACATACATAAATCCATGTTGAAATTGTTTATGCAAGAAAATACAAAACAGCCTCTTAAAATCAGATATTAACTTTAAAATAAATAATTTTAATTGTATATTGTGTTGCAGAAAATTCTAAACAGTTCGTGTACTTTAGAAAAGGCAAATGAATTGGCCTACATTGATCAATTTATGTGTAATGGATTACTAACTGCTCCTGGTAAGTTAACAGGTTTGCAAAGCTATATTACTTTTTTTTTACCAAAAAGCATTGATTTGTAAACATAATTAACGCCTTTACATAATTTTACACTTGAGTAATAATGCTCATAAGTGATACTTATTATAGTGTACCAATAAGTATTGTAATAAAAAAAATTTTTATGGAAACTACAAGACATTTTTTACCCTACCTCATTTGTAATGGCCAAGTTTGTAATATAATATTAAAATTCCCATAACTAAAGTCAAGACATTTGGTTAGCCAAATCAATGACGTTTAGCGGTTTGTTAGAATTGTCCACGAATAATTATTTAGAAATTAATTACATACAGATAAAAACCTCACTAACTTGACAGTCTGCTAAACTTGACAGCTAACAGCTGGGCTTACAAAAAAATCTATTTTTCCTACAGTTACCTAACAATGTACATGTTCTCTCACTGATTTGAGAAAGCAAAGTGGCCAATTCGCTCACCAGTGAGACAATGTTCACATTGTCTCACTCTAATTACTTTGTCTCACTCCAGATTTGCAACGTGAAGGCACGAAATAGTGAGCGCGTAACATGCAGGCAACGTCGTATGCGCGCGAAATACGTTGGCAGCACTGGCTGTAAATCAGCTGGTCAGCTGTTGTACTGTTGTATTTGTCACTTCACATTAAATGTTATATTAAAAGTTCACTTTTGTGTAAAAATAGGTTATGTTTCTTCATGTTTCTTCACAAATGTTTTTGTTTTATGGTAACTGTAGGAAAAGTATAATGTGCAACTCGAGTTCAAAGTACAATTGCCTCACTCGAGAAACCATTCCTCACTCGCCTACGGCTCGTGAGTAAGGATTTCTCTCGAGTGAGTCAATTGCTCACTTTTCTCACTAGTTGCACAAATAACTATTTCAAAACATTTTAGATTTAATTTTTGAATATTCTACATTTCTTTGAATATTGTTCACTGTTCACTCATATGTAAAAATACTTATGTAAGTAATAAATTTGTGCAGCACGTATGTAAAAATTAGTCTGTCATTGTATTCATCTAAAGAAACCATTAAAAATGTCAAGTTCTGGATAACTCGACAAATCCTAAACTCAACAACCTCTGGGTCCCCAAATAGTCAAGTTAGTGAGGTTTTACCGTACTAAGAAAGTATTGGAAATGAAATTGGTATATGAAACCTGTGAAACAACAAACAATCTCACCTGAAAAATTCTGCTTTGATCAAATTGATTTGCTAAAACAGTTCTAAAACTAAAATTTTAATAAATTTCTATAAGGAGTTCATGTTTTTGACTGCAGAAAAAGTAAAATTGCTATAAGTTATCAAATTAAAACATTTGTACAGTACTAGAATAAAAGTAAAACAATATGTTTTACACATAGAATCCTTCAACATTTTTACCAAATTTAAAGTATTCATTACTACTTTTAGGTCACATTTGGAAAATAAAACGCCGACATATTAATCCTCTGTTTCATCCACGCAACCTTGAGCTGATGTTGCCAACATTCAACCGAAATAGTGAAGAATTGGTGACAAACTTGTCCAAACACGTTGGCAGTGGACCGTTTGATGTGATGCATAACGTGATGGATGCAGCTCTCAAAACTGTTTGCAGTAAGTTGCCTGACCCAGTGAAGCAACAAATATTAACTTTTTATAAGGGAAAACTAATGCTAAGACTCTTGAAAATCCAAGTATTATCAGTTGAGTTTTTTCTAAATCTAACCTTATTCAAATGTTGGTTTTAATAATTAAAAGAAAACAGAGTTTTCTTAAATGAAATGAATGATTTATTGTCGTTAAAACTATATAACTTCTTGATCAGCATTGTACGTGTTATTAAATTTACGGAAAGTAAATAAAAGAAACGTCTTATAACACTTAAAACATATATTTACGCTTATACTGTTACTCACAAGACGGTAAATGTACAAAAAAGATGGTAAGTGGTACCATCTTTTTTGTATATTTACCGTCTTGTGAGTAACCGTATAAGCGTAAATATATGTTTTAAGTGTTATAAGACGTTTCTTTTATTTACTTTCCGTTAAAACTATGTACAAAGTGCATGACAATCGTCTAAAGAAAAACAAAACAATCAAGATGGCTCTGGCATTAAAACTAAAATAACTAAAACTCTAAACCAAAGTACTCTTAGAGTAGTTTTTAAAACTTGTTTGAATTTTAAAACACAGTTTTTTGATGGAGGCAGGCAAGAAACTGTACATTTTAACTTCTTGGTACTCAAAACTATTTTGAGTGGCTTTATACTTATGCCTTAGTGTGGACAGATTATCTTTAGATCTAGTACAATAGCTGTGCACATCAGATATCTTTTCAAAGTGAGAAATGTTTTCTTTTACATGCAACGAACTTGCCAAAACATACAAAGATTGAAATGTGAGAATGTTAAGACCCACTAAAAGGGGCTTACAATGTGTTCTTCTATTCACACTACAAATGAACCTGACCACCTTCTTTTGTAAAGTAAAAAGCAACCTGTTAGCATAAAAACCTTTGACTATCAATACAACTTCAGTATCCAATAATCAATGATAAAAACTGTTTGCCCACAGTGAGGGCCAACACATTTTTTTTTTTTTTTTTTTTTTAAGTATTAATAAAGTGAACTATTAAACAATGTCTTCTTGCTTCTTGTTTGTGAAGGGGAAGATCTCCAATCAGAAATGGATGTTATCCTTGGCATGAGATCAAACCTTTTCCTTAGCCGGGTAGCTCAGTGGTTTTAATGCTTGCCTGGTAATCAAAGGGTAGCTGGATCAATCCTGAATCTAGAACCAGCGTGGTGTCAGATTTTCTTATTTTTCATTTTTTGAAAAGTGTTAGTTTGTGTCAGTGTAAACTAAATAAATCAAAATGTAACTTGAGGATCACAATGTCAATTAACCAACAAACATATAATAAAATAATAATCAAACGGTCGCCGGTTTGATCCTGAGAAAAATGTGTAAATTTGTGATGGTTTGAAACTGGACCCAGCTGTCCTTGATCATTGGTCTTTCAATAAATGATCCTGACTAATGAAACATGGTCTTAGTCAGTAACAAAGCTACACAGGTCATCACACACCATTCTACACTCAACCTTTACTCATATTCATATTTGGGTTAAAATATGCACATAGGTAGCGTCCCCATCTTAAATGAAAATGAATAAAAATATGAATAATACAAGTTTCAACACTCTAAATCGAATTTCTTGAAAACATTTCAGATCTAATATTTGGACCAGATATAGAAGTCGACACAGAATCTCAAAGCTTCAGAGGTCTTAGATGTATTGTGGAGAGGTAAATCATTATCAATTTCTTCTTAGTTTATAGTCAGTATTGAATAAGAATAAGAAGCTTAAAATACTGAGAGAGAGAGAGAGAGAGAGAGAGAGAGAGAGAGAGAGAGAGAGAGAGAGAGAGAGAGAGAGAGTTCACAGTTACTAAAACACCCTGATTTTGTTTATCGCTAACTTATTTATTTAATAACTAGCTGTACCCGCGAGCTTTGCCCCGATTAACTTCATAAGTATTCGCATGGGCCAATCACGTCTTGGTTGAAGTTCGTTCGCTACGCTCACTCACCTTTAGGTTGGAGCTCGTTCGCTGCGCTCACTTGCCTTCAGGCTAGCTCGTTCGCTACGCTAACTCAACTCCAGTTTGAAGTTCGTTCGCTACGCTCACTCACCTTATGGTTGCTAATTAATTAGCTGTTGTCATAAATTAAAAAAAAAATAGTGCTGCACCCTGTTGGTAATTCTTGTAACTTTAATGCTGTTGGACATCATAGAACAGAACCAACTTGTTTAATTGAAACAGCTGTTAAGATTCATTAATTATTCCTTTTAAATATGAAAAATCATAAGTTTAACATGGGAAACTCCAGAGCCACTGGGGTGGAGCCCGAAAGCCCGATCAGAATAAAAACTACTTAGTTATCCTATTTAATGCCCAAAGAATCGGTGTACCGAATATCAGCCTCCTAGGTAAATGGGAAGTTGGAGAATTAATTAGTGATGAGTGAGTGAGTCAGTGAGGGCTTTGCCTTTTATATATTCAGACAAGAAATATGATTGGTTGGAAACCACCTACCAGAAGTTACAGAGTTGAAATAATCTCCTAAACAAACAAAAAGTGATTAAAACAACCTTTAACATAAGGCCATGATCCTCTATTACATATATTATTCAACATTTATAATTATGAATATCGAATATGACAATTTTAATTATAACATTAAAAAAATAGCATCAATATCAACGGATGTTTGAGTTATATTTTTGAAAATTAACTTAAGACGATTACATAATCTCCCATCATCATGTACATTGAGCGTTTATAAGCCAATCGTCGACCTCCTTCCTACTCACTAAGAAGTTCAACTCTCATCTTTTCAAATAATGTTAAGAAAATATTTTACTAGAATCCATAATCACATGGTGAAGTAAGGACTTTATATGTGCGAGCTACACAAAGATCACTGCGAGTGTCAATAAGTAAAACATCTTATTTATCGTACAACTACAGTTTTATACCAGAATGTTGTTAATTGGTATAAAATAAATAACTTTTTCATTGGTTTGGATGAGGTCAAGTTTGTTTAGTGTACTTAATACAATTTAAATTACTGATAATATTACGCTACATTAAAAGAACTTGTTTTGGTGACATCTAGCGGTATTTAGACGAACTGTTGCCGACGACGATATAAGTGCTATCTAGCGGCGCCCGAATACACGAACTGTTTCAAACGTCGATCTAGAATAAAGGAGTTTTATTGGTAACTGTGGTAACTGTTTTATTGGTAAGCTGTGTGCCCGTTCTACGCACGGGGATCTATCTTATCGTAGTCAGTTAAAAAAAAGTACAGAACTTAATTAGGGAATTTGCTGCGCTGCGCTTTAAGCACACCAAAATACATAAAAATTAGTATTTGACATCATTGTTAATGTCATCAAATTGTATCATAACAATTTATATTTGCTTAGACCGAAGATGACCCGAAATTCTGTCAAAATGACGGCTTATTATGTGAGGAAGTACTATAGACGATTTAGATTGGTAATTATAATTAAAAATACCAAAATAGGCCACGAACAATTGATACATAAACAACGTAAAGCGTTTAAACAATTCATGATTGTTTGCTGAATAAATGTTTTACTAAAACGCGTTATCGTTTTCTTACCATAAACTATCATTTTGGAATCCAGACAGAAAAAGCAAAACTTATACAGTTCAGACATCAATTAAATTGAATACGCCTGTAATAAATAAGATGCAACACCAACTATAAATAACTTGTAAATTACAGTGATGTGTTGGTACGTAAAAATGATTCTTGCTGCTACCAACGGTTCTAAGGAAAATAACCAGTACCAAAAACAAAACCAACATTTACTGTTAAGAACCATAGTACGTCCGACCAATCATATGCGTTAATCAAGTCCCAAAGTTATTGGTCTCTTGGTTTTGGATTTTCTCGTAAAAAGTTATCGGCAATCAAAGTTATTTCCCATTAATGCTTTATTTGTAAACAATTTTTAATGTAAACTTATCGGTGTCAGTTTGAAAAAAAAAAACAACCTTATACAACAACTTTTTGTTATTTAATAGATTAGGTATTCTCTAAACAATGATTGGTAACGTAACATTAGAATGAAATGTGACAAAAATCACACAACGTTGGGTTTTTGGACATTTGTTATTTTATTTCTTAAGTAGGTAGGCCGTGTATTCTAGGGAAAAGTACCGGTATCAAGGATCGTCGTCAAAAAGGTTGTTATGAATAATTGGGTAGGCGTAAGTGCCTAAGAGATGGGCTATGGGCCTATTGGCTGTATGGTCCAGCGATTGCATCATACGGTGAGTAAATAATAAATAAATAAAAAGGCCTTTATTTGCGAGCGAGTTTCATAATACATGGTTTTCAAACTAACTCAAGTCACTAAATCTAAACTATCCTAATATATTTACATAAGTATATACAAACAAATTACAACAGAATAATTACAATATATATTTTACATTTGTTTTTTTCATTGCGGCCCTGAATGTGTTGTACGATTTTGAACACTTGATCTCTTGAGGGAGGCCATTGTACAACCGCGGGCCGAAATAAGAAAAAGACTTTCTTCCAGCCTCAAGCCTCACTTTAGGAAAGTGAAGCTTGCGGTCGGAGCGAGTACTACGCAGACAGATCTCCCTCCTGTACTTCAGCCTCTCGCTGAGGTAATGAGGCTCTCCCAGCGTGAGCACTTTGTGGACCAGGCAGCAGGTCAGCTTTCTGCACATGTCATCCATTGGGATGAGCTTAGCAGCATCTCTGTAGGAGGACACGTGTTCAAAGCGACTAAGGCCAAAAATGAACCTTATGGCAGAATTTTGAATTCTCTGAACTCTTGCCATATCCTCCTTAGAGACGCTGTTTCCATATGCAGGAAAGCAATATGTGAAGGCTGGAAGGACCAAGGACCGCATGAGTTGCGTTTTGGCAAATTCTGGCAGGAGAGTTTTGAATCTGCTAAGACCTCTCAATCTTCCCACTGCGCGTTGGACTGCAGATGTGACGTGGTCAGAAAAAGAGAGGTCTTTGTCAAGTACAACACCAAGCGTGCTGACAGTGTCACAGACAGACAATCCCATGCCATCAAGGGTGACTTTAATGTCAGATTTTCTCAACTCCTGCATTAGAATATGTGGTCCAGTATGCATGACAACACACTTGTCAACGTTCAATCCAAGGCCATTCATGACAGACCATTGAAAAATGCTGTGCAAATCAGCATTGATGAGTTCAATTGCTGCGGATGTCATGTCTGGCTTGTATGACAAGTGTAATTGACAGTCATCAGCATACAAGTGTGCTGTACAATATTTTACACTTCTGGGCAAGTCAGACGTGTATAAATTGAACAGCACAACAGGGCCTAAACAACTACCTTGAGGAACACCTCGCAATTTGCAAAGCGGATCTGATGTCCCACTCCCAATTTTGGTAACCTGCAGTCGGGACTCCAAATAGGACCGAAACCAACATACAACTTTTTCGCTGCAACCATAGTACTTCATTTTTGCCAATAATAATTCATGATCAATAGAGTCGAATGCTTGAGAGTAATCTAAAATAGCTAATGTGCTGTAGAGTCCTTTGTCTTTGGCATCAAATAGATCAGCAAACATATTAGTCAGTGCAGTACACGTGCTGTGGTTTTTTCTAAACCCTGACTGTAGCTTAGGCAGTATATTATACTCATCTAGAAATAAAGTGATTTGTTCGGTTACTATCTTTTCCAGTATCTTTGAAATTGCAGGTAACACAGAGATAGGTCTTAGCTGCTGGATGGTTTTTGGCGTAGCAACTTTAGGCAAAGGTTTCACGTAGGCAATCTTCCAACTGCTAGGAAAAACACCAGAGGCCAGGCTCATATTTAATAAATGTGTAATTGCTCCTAATGCATATGGGCTTACCATTGTAAAACCATTGTTTTATTCGATGGCAACAATAGGCAATTAAACCTCCTACTCAACTATCTGAATAACATCGCACCCAAATTAAAGTTTACTTTAGAAACAGAGTCAAACAATAGAATAAATTTCCTAGACCTCACAGTCACGAAGAATAACAGCAAATTTGATTACAGTATTTACAGAAAACCAACCACTTCAGCTCAAACAATTCACTCCACTTCTTACCATCCGTTTTCGCAAAAAATAGCAGCCTACAACTCCATGATCCACAGAATGTTAACTGTTCCATTAAGCCCCGATAATTATAACAAAGAATGCTCATTAATAAAGTATATCGCATCAGCCAATGGGTACAAACACGATTTGGTAGACAGATTAATTAACAAATGTAAGAACAAAAGAAAACAAGATATTAAACCAGATAAGAGTGAGAGAAAATATGTTTGCGTGGAGTACAGCCACTCTGTAGAAAACAGCCTTAAAAAAGAACTAAATAGGCAAGGCATCGACTTAACGTTCCGAACCACCAACCGCACTAGGAACATCTTGCATAATAAAGGGACTAGCAACAAATTAAATAACACCGGTGTTTACCAGATCAGTTGCCCAGATTGCCCATGCAAGTATATAGGCCAGACGGGTCGGGCATTTGAAACCCGCTACAGAGAACATAGGCCTACTCCAAAAATGGTCAAACAAAAATCAGCCTTCGCACAACACCTGGTTGATTCAAATCACTCAATGAGTAGCATTGACGATGGTTTAAAAATTCTACATGTCTGTGGGAAAGGTAGCAAACTTGACACCTTGGAGGAGTTCGAGATTTATAAAATTTATAATGACGAACAGTGTAAGGACCACATCCTTAACGAAAAATTACAGTTCCAGTCTCACTCGATTTTTAATACAATATTAAACTCAGGAACAGCTGATCGAAGATCTGATAACATCAGTGATAACAGTAGAGGAGACGATGTGACGTGACCTCCAGTCTGCTACCAGCCCCGCGCCGCGCCGGACCAAATCAGTATTATGATAGCGCTATCTAAATGTCAATTGTGTATTCGTACCGTATTAATGTCTTCTGTGTTCGTGTTCGTGTTTTAAATGTGTTTTTGACGAGTTGCAAGCTTTGATAATGTTGTCTTCGCAACGAAACATGTAAGCTGTTGAGCAATACCATTTTTGGACTATTTGACTGAGGTATGTAAAAAACCTATTATTGTCTATCATTATCTCCGTGTTTTTTATCTGTTTGAAATATATTCAGTATTTCAATATCTATATCTTTTCCCGATCCCATATTGGTGAAATATTCATTTATTCTGTTAATATCTAAATCAGGGGGGAGCACACTATTTCTCTTACTACTTATAATCTCACAATTTTTTAAACAATTCCAGAACTCTGCAGGTTTTTCACATTTTGCAAGCTTGTTAGAGAAGAATCTTTTTTTAGCCTCTAGTATCATGGAATTCAATTTATTCCTCGATGTCTTGTACTCATACCAGTCCGAAGAATCTCTGGTCTTCCAGTATTTGTTACGGTGCTTATTTTTTAAAAGTGACAATTCTTTAATCTTTTCATTTATCCAAGGAGCCTTTTTCCGTGTTACCTTCTTACAAACAACAGGAGCAACCTCATCAAACACCTTCTTTATATTATCGGTAATGAATTTCTCTATCTCATCAGGAGACTCTAATTTGTACACATAGTTCCAGTTAATATCAGCAATTATATTTAGTGCAGTATCAACATTGAATTTGGAATAATCTCTATATGTGATTAGCTTCGACCCCCTTTTGTCTTTCTGACAAGATATACAACAATATATTAATTTATGATAAGTCATCCTCATTCCTCTGTGGTCAACTATGCTGGGGGTGTCTATGACTCCAACACTTTCAATCTCGGCAGATTTGTCTACTATAATATGGTCAATCAATTTTGCCGAGGTTTCTGTCACTCTTGTAGGCTCGTTGACAATTTGTATAGTGTTGGATTCTCTCATCAGCCTACACAGGTAATTTGTTTCGCAGGTTTGTGACAGCATATCAATATTCGTGTCCCCCAAATAAATGACTGATTTGACTTCAACCGCAAGGTCAATAAAGAGGGAGCGAAACAGATCCGAAAGGCGAGTGTACCTTATGTAGGAAGGCCGATAAACCACACATATACCAAACTTACTCCCTTTGAAACTCACCACCACACAGAGATGCTCAATACCAGGATCGATGAAATCAGGTAGGGGGTAAGGCTGAAAGTCGATGCCGTCTTTCACATACAATGCCACACCCCCTCCTGGGTAACCATTTCCAGCATTGCGATCGCAACGAAGCATTGAGTATCCCGGTATAGCATAACTGTCTGTGGGTGTGTTTGGGTGGAGCCAGGTCTCAGTAACCCCTAAAATGTCAAAATTAAAGTCATGAACAAGTGAGCAGAGCTCATCGAAAGCTGTGTTTAGAGACCTTATATTGACATGGGCCACTATGAGATTCCCTTTACCCCCCCTCCCAGTCAGTTTTCCGGGACATGAGAAGCCCTGGATGCCTCTACAATAGTATTGGAGACGCAACCGACATTCTCAGTCCCGGGAACATGACAGGGAGTAGGGGCAGCTCCACGGGAGAGAGCACTCACACGATCCAAAGCTGCAGAAATGTGGTCCACAATCAGAGAACCTAAGCGAGAGGTGCCCCTTCGATTGAAGTGGACTCCGTCCCGGGCTAAGTCACTCCTGCCAACACAACGGTTTGGATCAACAAAAGTTACGCCAAAATTATTACACATGAGTAGGAACTATTGACTATATATATATATAGTCATAGTCAATGATAGGAACAGTAAGTGACACATTGGAAAAGCGAGTTTAGCATCATCTGTAAACCTCTGTTACAATCACCCACTGCAGTTATGATTTTTTACTTTACACTTTACACAACTGCCATTGAAGCGCCGACAATGAGTGGAAACCTTCTTTCTAAGGTATTGGTGGCGATCATTAATAAATTTAAATTTCCTAGCCGTTTGCAACACTGATTCAAGGTCTTTTTTCTGGTTATCAAAACTCAAGAACAATTTTATACACAAAGAATCCCTGGTTCCTGACCTGGATGATGCCTAGTTATTTAATTTAATTTACGGTTACACTATATTATTGCACTTGCGATTAATTAAATCCGTTATGTAAGAAAAACGTTTTTAACCTCACTTGGTTGGGATTTGCTTTCTAAACGTGATTGAAATGGTTGCGGTGTTTGTAAACAACATTTGTAAACATATCAGTGACAGCCAGAAAAAATAATCTTGATCCCAACAGCTGTTCGTTATTTCATAGATGATTATGTGATTAAAATTGGAAAAAAACTTGACAAAAATCGCACAAAACTGCATTTTTTAAAGTCTGTAATTTTGTTTACAAAGTAGTAAGGCAATATTTTAATGGCTAAAGACGCTCTCGCCAATCCAGTGAATACATTAAAATGACTCAGATCTTGATAGGTACTCTCGTTTTCCTCGAGAAGATAGCGTAAAATGCCATATTGAGTGTTACAGACAGACAGACAGGCAGACAGAAATAGAGCTAAGACTCGTTTCTGCTTCTTTAATGTATATAACGTAAAAATACCCTAAAAATATATAATTCTGAGCAATGTACAGACAAAACTCTAATTTTATTTATATAGATAATTTTCTTATATTACATTTACATTGCCACTATATATGATTACCATTACATGATATGGTTAACCACTATAAATGATTTACCATTTATAAATTACATCACCACCTATTATAGTTTTAAGATATTGTCTATTCATTCCAGGATTCCAGAAATATTTATTTATCGAGCCACTCGATTTTGGTTGAGATTTGATGTTATATTTGAATTTCTTTATGGGAAGGAAATAAATGAGATGAACAAGCTTTGGCAGGAATTTACTGAGCCTCTTTTAAGGGTAAGATTTTTTTGTATTTTTTCTGGTAGTTCTTTTCTGCATCATATTTGTGTTTGAATGACTCATCAGTGTGAGGTATACGCTTATTTTGACATTTATTGATTGATTGATTTTGTGCTTTTATGCAATATAAATTTTTTATTCGATCTCACCCCAACAATCAATCTAAAACTGAAAGACCTGTGGGTGTAAGTTTTTCTGCAAGAATGATTCTTCATGTTGATTCTTCATGGACACATACTGAACTGGCACTGTCCTTAGACTACTATAAACTATTACCACCCAACATTTCAGCCTTTATACAGGGTGCCATCTCCAGGGGGTTTACAAATTGCATACAAACCACCAGTATTGCAAAATGAAGTATAGTAAAAAGTAACAGTTGTAAGAAGAACAAGAGTAGAGCTACCTATAATTAACTATGTGTTTTATTCAGAAGAATCAAATTGTCTCCCTAAGCCAAATAAAATAGATATTTTAATAGATTTTTGGTTTCAGATAGCAAAAAGTAAATGGGAAAATAAAAATCAAGTTGAGAACCAAATTGAAAATGATTCTACGAACAATTCAACTGACAAGAGTCCAGGTTGGTAGTGAATTCATATACTCTGAAAAAAGATTTCAATTGTTTGTGCCATATAAGATGGTATCGACACTAATTTGGTATTATCATTGACTGTTGGATACAGAAGTTTGTATTAATAGTCAAAGGTATTATTCTGTACAGCTTTCAATCCGAAACTACTTTAAAATTTTAAGTCCATTAGTAAAAGTATAAACAAACTATATTATCTTTATTAACTTACTAAGATAAATACCTGTGAAGGGATATGGAAGCCCATTCCATCCTTGTCAAGATGTATGTACACTAGGAGATTTTTTCAATGTGTTTTGTATTTTCAGGACTGTTGAACCTACTTGACGTCCATGGTGTTATGGAGCAAAAATTTCCTGAATTTACAGAAACTGATCTGAAATATGAAATGATAACACTTTATACTACGGTGAGCTAATAATACTATGTGCATTATGTTTAGAAGTTAGAAGTTTCATGACTTTGCCTCTTTTATTTTATGAGTGAAAATTTAAAAACGTACGTTTTTATGTCCCTGGCCTTTTACTTCGTAGATACTGGATTTGTAGTTTATTATTATGTGTTTTAATATTTTTTGGGACGGGGGCAACATGTTACACACATTTATTTGGTTTTAAATAGGTTCTAGGTATTTTTTTCGTATTTTTAAAGTCTCGAAATTCACGACCATGACGTGTCCCTAGGGTACATTTTCCAACTTTCACGCTGTTTTTAGACTAATTATTCATGCCGAAATATATAAAGCCATATTTTTATGTCATCAATGGTTATTAAACTTACAAAAAAGGAGCATATTATAATTTTATTGTCATTGCAGACTGACTACCATAACAAAATAAGTCTGTCCCTCGATTTGGCGTCACGACCATTTGGGAAAAATTTTCAACTTTGGAGCACTACAGTGGCAAGCCTGGCGTCGATGGAGTCAGTTGGTTTTAGAGACTAGTTCGGGGTGTACGTCAGGATTGTAGTGCCGGTCGTTTTGAGTTGAAAGGAGGAATTACAAGATTAATAAAGGAAAGATTGTGTTTTTTGTAATTTTGGTGTGTCCATGACCGTACGTAGCCATTCGATGAAGTAGACATGGTGTTAATTTTTGTTTATAAGATATTTCAATTGCTAGATTAACCTAGAAGTCCACTTTGTATCCTCGAACATGAGGTGCAGGGCTACCGCCAGAACAGAGCCAAATAACACGTAATTTCACGACCAAAGTTTCACGACCATCGCGGTTTTTTTCACGACCAATCCAGCCTTATGGATTATAGTGTGTTTGGTCGTGACAATAACTTTAGTATAATTGTAAATTGAACAGTTTAGTTCAATTGAAACACATAGTTTTATTATAACTAACAGTATAATTGAAGGATTGTTTGGAAAGATTTAGATTATTCCAGACAATTCACGACCGTACCGCTTGTCCCTGACCATCACGTTTATGATTTCTATCATAAAAATTTCAAAAATTAAAATATCGTCATATTTGAATGTTTTATACACAAAAGAAGCACACCTCTATACAAACATAACGATTTTTCGGGTCTCAGGTAAGTTTTTTCGGAGTAATACAAACTTAAAAAGATTTTATTGGCTTTTTTCTATTTTTTGAGTTTGTTTTATTTTTTTCTAGAAAGACCAAATATACCAAAAGCTCAGTGACCTTTTTGTTGTATAATGGTCATAAAAGTAAACTAGTTTATAGCAAAACATAGTTATAAAAATAATATTAACTATTTTAAATATTCATTTAAACGTCCGTTATGGTCGTGACAGGATTTTGTGTTTTTCTACTAAAGATGCTCTTTAAAAAGAAAACTACCAAAGATATTGCGTTACCATGGACATTTTATGAAACTTCAAATGTTAATGAAATAAAAAAAATAATAAAAGTTTTGAAAAAAGGGGGAAAAAATTTGCAAAGTGCTTTTCCTGAAAACGTACGTTTTTAAATTTTCACTCTTATATTTGAAAATGGCAATATAGGTTGCTTGAAATTTATTCTTGTTTGAGCGATAAACTTGATGTCTGTGTTGAAAATGTATAAACAAATATTTTAAGATTTATTTGTTTTATCTTATTTTTTTTAAAGCTTACGAAGGCACAATATTTAAATTTAAAGTTTTGGACTATCATTTCTTACATTAAAAAGCTTTTAATTTCATTATAATTTAATAAATCAAGAAAGATTTTTTTCAATTAAGTGGTACAGTTAGGGTTGTCCTTCAATCAATAAAAGGTGTGTATTTGTTTTATACAATAGATTTAAAGTTATTATTATTCTCCTCGGATAGATTTAGTACATTATTATTCTCTTCTACAGCCTCACACTACTGTATTGCTAACACTTATACAACCATAGCTAATTTGTAGAACACCATCTCTAACCTTTATGTTTCTTCATACACTGCAGGGAACTGATACAATAGGAGGAGCAGTGTCTACTTGTTTACTCTTGCTGGCCCAATACAAGGATATTCAAGTAAGTGGGACAACTTTATGAAGATTTCTTCATGTTATGAAATAGTTAGACAGGTCTATCTTTATCCATTTTTTGCCTCCTGGATTGATAAAGAGTACTAATAATAATAAAATAATTAGGTATTTAACCTATTATTATTAGACAGGTCTTGTCATATTGTTGCTATTACTGCAATTTATTTCTGAAAAATATTCCTCGTACAGCCAATAATAAAATAAAACATGAATGATTACAACTCAAAATTTGAGGTTTATCCAGGGATCCCAGGTTCCATATACCGGGTGTCCCAAAAAGAATGGATCAAAAGTAAACTGACATGAACACTTTATTCTTAAAGATAAAAAGTTGACTTTACATACATTTTATTTCTTAACATTCTAAGTTTTTCCTAACATGATTTCACCGCCTAACCTCTACATATTCTCCGTTGCTCGCTCGGAGAAAGTCAAGGCGGTGTTCAAGCTCAGACCACACATTGTGTCGCATTTCATTGGATATTTTTCCAATGAATATTACATTTTTTAATAGCACACCCAACTTCATCTAATCTGGATTAATAATAAACCATCATATGTTTTTACATCTTACTAATGATGGTTTATTCATAATCCAGATCAGATGAAGTTGGGTGAGCTATTAAAAAATGTAATATTCAATACCTTTGTTATACTAAAAATAAAATATGTGGGTCTTATACTGGTAGCTGTTGTTGTGTGTAGCTAAAATTGTCCACAATAGTGATGTCAGTGTTTTATAGGATCGTCTCTATCAAGAAATAGCAGCACCAGACAATATAGAAAAGGATGTTACGATGGAAGATATTAAAAAGTATACGTACTTGGACCAAGTGTACAAAGAGACCTTGAGATGGGCCAACATTGTCCCCCTAGTGGCAAGGAGGACAACGGAAGATCTTGTGCTAAGTAAATAACCCAGTGCTTAAATTAAACAAATATTGTACCGGTACCTTAAACTGTAGATTAGTTTTGTTGTCAAGAATCAATCAGGCAAATATCAGGATAGTAAATTATACTCACTCCTAAGTTTAGTTTCACAAATCATTCATAACTCAACTTGCACACGGCAAACACATATTAAATTTTTTTAATGGCCTTCTCTTAATTCAGAGAGACAAGAAATAAATCAGTATGTTTATTCCTTTGAACTATCATAAGAGAACATTTGATTCAAGAGTGACATAACCAAACTGTCTTGGATGTAAATATGAAGAAGAAATTAGTTGAAAAATGTACCTGATGTATACTCCAACATTGGAGTTAAGCTTAACTAATATTGTGCTTTGTGTTTACAAACATTGCTAGTGCATTTAGCTATCTGATCAATGATCAATGACCATCGAGTGGTCGAGTGGTGTGAGGCGTTGTATCTCCTCGTGTACAGCTCTGTGCATCTTTTGTTAGGTTTTGGTGTAAAACTCATTCGGCTATGTGTAGCTTATGACATGGCTTAGTGGGAAAAGCCTGTCTGAATCTTACTAATATTATAAATCTGAAAGTTTGTGAGTTTGTGTGTGCGTTGCTCAATCACGCATAAACTACTGGACGGACTGGGCTGAAATTTGGCATGATGATAGCTCACATTCCCGATTAACATTAAGGCATATTCTTATCTCAAAAATCCTTTCGGGCTCCGCCCCAGTGGCTCTATAGTTCCCCATGTTAACCTTATGAGTATTCATATTTAAAGGGAATTAAAGAATTTAGTCAGCTGTTTCAACTTTACAAGTTGGTTCTATAATATCATAGACAAAAAGAATTAAATATAGACCGTCAGCTGTGCTGCGGTTACCATAGGTTCTGGCGCACACCACTTGGAGCGCCATGTAGTTATGGTGTACGCGCTACGTAAACTACAGCGGTGTGCGCCGGAACCTTTGGTAACCATGGTAACCGCAGCACGGCTGACAGTCTATATTTAATTCTTTTTGTCTATGATAATATGCAATACTATTAAAAAGTTATAAGGTTTCCCAACAGGGTGCAGCACTATTATTATTTTGTTTCTGCATATTATATGACAACAGCTAATTTGAACTTAAGCAGCAACAAAACGCCGTGATACAAAATGAGAACTGTCAAGGTAGGATTGTTTATAGTTAGTTAGGTTTGAGATTTTAATTTAATGAATAATTTGTGATATTTTGCGAATGTTTGATAATTTATTTTTTTCTATTGTTAAGGTGCAGTAGTAGAACATTATGACAATAGTAGATCTGTTACACTATATCATACCGTAAATTTATGAACCAAATTTTATCAAACTGCGTTCTCCCCCATTGCAAACGCAAAGCTTGAGTATAACTGATGCAATAAGCATTTTATACTTAGATGCCAACCCCTTACGAAGGACGGGTGCTCCGCTAGTGTATAATAATCTGTGGACTTCATTGGAAGTAGACAAGATGGGAAGATTATGTATGAAGACATTTATATGATATGTGTGATGTCTTTCATGAGCTTGTAAAATATAATTTGGATTTTTTAATGAGATGATGAAAAGCTATTGTGAAAAAAGTCACAATAACTAATTTCAAAGAACTAATTTACGATCCAACCTATTTTACAGTTGTCATTCTTTACTTGAACAATATTTGTGTAATTGAATAATCCTCACGGTTTCAGGTGGTGTGACAATACCAGCTGGTTACACGGTCGCAGTTGCTATGATAGCCAGCCACTTGGACCCAAAGATATTCCCAAATCCACTAACTTTTGATCCAGAGCGATTCTCTTCTGAAAATAATGCAGAACGAGAACCATACTCTTTCTTGCCTTTCAGTGGGGGCTCGCGAAACTGCATTGGTAAGATGCTATCTTTTTTATAGTTAAACATTGCTATTGCTACATCAGATTTAATATCGATATTTTTTAGGAAGATTGTTGGTAAAATTAAGCTCTAAGAGTTAACTTAAAAACATAATTATTTGGCATTTTATGCAATCAGGTTGACACTTACTATAAAATTCACTTAAAGCTAAAAATTATTCACTAAATTAGCGCTATATGTAAAATAGTTTTGTTTTTTCACTCAGAAATTTGGCATTTTATGCAATCAGGTTGACACTATAAAATTCACTTAAAGCTAAAAATTATTCACTAAATTAGCGCTATATGTAAAATAGTTTTGTTTTTTCACTCAGAAATTTAAAAAAGAGCATAATTATTTTGGTATTTAAAGCTAAACTTACATGACACTTACTTCAACATGATGAGAAATTCCTATGATGAACAAGTTCTTTCAAATGCATAAGATAATGTGCAACACTTTTTTTCTTTTATTTTTGCTTGTGTCTACTTTTTAGAACGGCATTTTTCCAATGAAGTACAGTAATTCAAACGCTTTTGAGGGAATAAGCAGTCCAAAAACACATTAACGCTAGCAACACACCCAACCCAAGGTTCAGAAATTATAGGTGAAAACTAAGACAGGATAAGGGGCACTGTGAAGAGTAAAAGAGGGAAGGTATAAAGAGGGAAGACGTCCACTATATTATTCTTGGATTCACAATACAAAGCAATGATAGTGTGTTTATTAACTTAGTCAAGTGGGCAGAGCATTGCTGTTATTATTTTTTTCTTAGAGTTATTTTAAATTCAATTAGGAATATTTCTTGTAAAAATGTACATTTAGTAGAAGTTCCAAAAGTCAGAATTCTATTGTTCACAACAATTATGACATTTTTCATGAAGGCTGTTTCAATTTGCTGCTCTGATTTTCTTTTGCTCATTAAACAAATTATATCTTATTTTTAAGATGACATCATGCCGCTAGCATTATAAGTTTTGTACCGTTTTTACCCATCTCTTAATAGTGCAGGAAAATAGTGTTGGATTCGAGAATTTTAATTTATCAGGCTGAAAATTGGTGGAAATGTTGTACGTACAGCTGGGATCATCATACTAAAATTCCCGAAAAATCCCACTTGGGCAACATGCCGCCATCTTGGAAAATGGCCGCCATAATGGATTTCCCCCCTTGTGTCACATATTCAAGCATAAAACCACTCCTAATTAATTGTGATAAAAACGTGCAGTTTCTTCAAAATTTTTTGTCGGGATGTAATTAAAATATTTAGAGCCATTATAGTTTTGTATGGAATTTCAAATTTTTATGCTAAGAAATAAACAAAAATAAATGGAGGGTAATACTGGTCTTGCATTCAAAATTGATTTAAGACCTATTTTACTCATCGGGGATAAAACCACTCTGATTAAATCTTATATGTAATTATATTTGTTTGTGGTCTGTAAGTATGCCGTCATATTGACGCTGGACATGTGATTGCACCCTACGTTTTAGACCGCCTCATGGTGGTGACTGTAATAAAATTATGTAAATGGAATTAAATTACTAATAGTAAATAAACAGTTGTGTTAGTATTACTTTTATAACTTAGTTTTATTTGATACATAATATTTTTCTTTTTTATATAAACTCCAAAAAACTGAATATATTCTGTTTGACAATTGATATGTTTGTGAGTTATAAAAACGATATCTTTGATGTGACTTTTTCCTCTTGCTGCAAAGTGGAATGGGATCATTTGGATGTCGGTCATGTTGACTTCCCGGTCAGAATGGAACTGGGTTGGTTAATCAGGTACATCAATGTCCCCTTCTTCATTAATTTATTACTGATGTGGCATTGATCCCGTGACCACAACCGTTGGTGCAGTAGATACACAATGGTGAAAAAGATAACCCATTTTCAGACACCCACAATACCTGTTACATCCAGTCTTACATGCACCTCTTATCAAGTTGAGGGAGGAGGTTGTCAGGTAAAGGGGCATTGAAGTAGGAGTTGGAGTAAATGTACCTATTTCGTTCTTTTTCCATCCCCACTCTGTAGGTGGAAGAGAAACCCCTAGCCATTCTTGACCCTGGTGGTACAATCTAAGGTTGTGCTCTCTAGCAGTTTCAGAAGTTGGTAGAAGTGTTGAAAAGTCAAATTAAAAGTCAAGACGTTTTGATATTGCTTTCAGGTACTGTTTGTATGAAGTTCTTTTGAGTCCCTGACAGCTTTTTGCTCCATATATAGGGCTACAAGAAATTCCTAGCCAGCTTTGACGATTTCCATCTGTGTGGATTCCGCCCGATTGAACACATACACTTACACTGGTTGGCAAAGAATTGGTGATTTCTCCAGAACATGAATGCTTGTATCTTCCCTTTCCTGTAGGTTGCTGATGTGGTATCACAACCGGACATAGAATGCAGGAAAACAAGATGCTCGTTGACATTGTCCATACTACTTTGCAGTGCTGTTGATGGAAATATCTTTTGCTAATGAGCTTTTGAAAGTGGAATGAGCATTTAGATATTTTTGTCAGGGTCAGTAAGGGTCAATAAAAGGACGAATGCCTCAGTGTTCTTTCCAACAATTGCAGAGTTTTTTCTTGATTGGCTGTTCTGTTTGGCTGCCATTTTTCTTGGGTGGCTGTTTGGACAATTAGACGGTCTGAATGAGCTTTCGCATGGACCGCTTGTATTCAGTTTCTGTTTGGATGGCTTACTAATTGATCCTTGTTTTGTTGGTTGCGTTGGCTAAGAATGGATGCTGCTGGGATAGCACTTGCACATCAGAACCAACAAGAACTTCGGCAGATGTCGCTTTAAACGTTCGCCTAACGTGTTCTACATCCTTCATCTTATTTTCCTGGAATCAGTCGAAAACAACAATGACTTGATTTCCGTAATGTTTTACAATGTATGTCTGGTACGCCTTACAAAAATGTCAGAGAAAATATCCGATTTTTGCCAGACTACCATGTGAAAAAGATGCCCACCATCTATCACAAGGTTTGGAGCTAGTGGAAGACAATCCGTAGAAGGACACAATTTCTCCCTCATGGTCCTTAGCGCAGCCTTGTTGGGTTTTCTATTGGTCCCATCGTTGAATAATGCTGTTTGGTAATGGTGCCAACTCGTATTCAAAACATGTCTACAACTGTTAATCATTACGGACAAGACACATAATTTGATAGAATAGCTAATTTTGGCTAATAGGAATAGTTTCACCCCACACAACGACCACATTTCCCATGGCTAAATGTGACTGTATCTTGTCTGATCTCCTAATGGGTTTTAATGTGGAAACATATCCCCTCACTTCAGCATGCTGCATGAGAACTCGTTTCATTTACAGCATTATATTACAGTCTCCACCACGACGTGGTCTAAAACTTAGGCTGCAATCGCACGTTCAACGTCAATATGACGGCATACTTATAGACCAAAAACAAATATTTTGACATTTTCTTGTGCGTATTGACCTGTTCTAAAAAACTTATGCTGGTAAGTCTTTCTCCCGATGAGTAAAAGAGGTCTTAAATCAATTTTGAATCCAAGACTAGTATTACCTTTCAAAAATGTTTTGGTTAGTTTTTGCATAAAATGTTAAATTACTACACACAGTTATTTACATTGGCTCTAAATATTTAAATTAAATATTTAAATTACATCCCGACAAATAATTTTGAACAAACTGCATGTTTTTATCACAATTAGGAGTGGTTTTATGCTTGAATATGTGACACAAGGCGGGAAATCCATTATGGCGGCCATTTTCCAAGATGGCGGCATGTTGCCCAAGTAGGATTTTTTGGGAATTTTAGTATGACGTTCCCAGCTGTATGTACAACATCTCCGCGAATTTTCAGCCTGATAAATCAAAATTCCACTATTAGGCTAAATTTTACACTTTTTCCCTGCACTATAAGTAGGTTTTATTTTTCAGGTCAACATTATACTAACATGTTGATGAAGGTCATGTTAGTTCATATTTTGAGGAGGTACAAAATATCTACTGTCAAAGACGTTCACAAGTTGAGGAGGAAAATGGTGATAACTCTGATCAGTGTGGAAGGATACCAAATAATGTTGGAAAACAGAGAGCACTAAGAATACATTTTAAATTGACTTTTGTACCTTGATGGAGTACTACTTTTCCATCTTAAAGTAAAACCATGTACTTTGAGTTGTTATTTAAGCTTCATATTTATTTACGGGCTTACATTTTAGATTACATTCGTACTGCATAGAACTTTTATTCTTTCTTTTTCTTTACCCGATTAGCTAACTTTTTACTAGATCAATGTGCTTTCATTAAAATGTTATGTGTTTTTCATCCAGGTTTCAAGAACTTGGATTATTTTACATTTAGGCCAACCTTTATTGTTGTTCCCTGATTTCTTGTTAGAAATATATTTGTGACACCAAAATGGGGGGGATGAATCCAATACAAAAATGTGATGGATAGTCTAATTCGCATATTTACTGTTAATAAAAAAAACTACCATAATTATTTTACCATTGGCTCCTATATCTAATAAAAAGTCAATGATTTTTACTATTCTGATACATGGAATGTATGGAAGAAAACTGGAATGCCAAATAAGTTTCAGATTTGAAATAAAAACACTCAATAGTTTCCAAGTCTATACACATCATGCAAATATATACCATCATCCTCGTTTATAAACCTTTGCCTGTCCTCTGTAATAATATATGAAACAGTAAAACCTTGTAATCAGCCCTAAATTTATAATTAATGCGTGATTTAGTAATAGTTTGAGGTCATAAGGAGAATTAATTGATCTTCCTCCTTCCTCTATAGGAGAGTGGCAATACCTTACCACTCTTTAGCAAGATTCTAAAGCTCATTCTTTAACCTCAAACTAGAGGTAAAAAGTAACTTATTTGCTTAAACTTATTTTTAGCGAATTTCCCATATAGGGAATAAGCTATTACCGTAGTACTCATGGTAAGACCTGGACACGGGACCGATTTTTTTTTTCGTTTTGAGGTCCCTAGAGGCTAAAAACACCATCCGTTCAAATTCATATATATATATATATATATATATATATATATATATATATATATATATATATATATATATATATATTTATATATATTTTATATATATATATATGTGTCCATCTAACTCAAGCAAAAATGATCCGATTTTGATGAAATTTGGTACAAACGTGTAAACGTACGTTTATTCGAACGAGTTCGCGATCCAGCATGATCGGACCATGGGAACGGGGGTTTACGGGGGGTTTTATGGGGTAAAAATAGGTTTTCCCCATTTTTGACCCAAAAAACATAAAATTTAGCAATTTCTTTCCAAACCATTTTGTAGAGCTTAAAAAAACAAATAATTTAGTATATTGAAGTGTTATTATGCGCCTAATGGTCACGGAGAAAATTCAAAAAAATTGTAAATTTAAAATTCCCATGTTATTCTTATGGAGAATAAGTAAACTGTTGTAGTTTGCTTGTTTGTGAACATATTTTGATCAAATTTGGAAAATGTTTTTATTTTTTACTAACTATTCAAATTTTACAAAAAAAAACAACCCTCCCTGATGCAGCAAACCTAAGTACTTGTTAAACTAATTCTATTTAAATCAAGAATAAATGTTATAATTTTAAGTAGACATTTCAGTGTAAATCCAATCAGTCAAATGGAAATTCGCTTAGTCTGCAGGTTTGCTGCGGCGGGGGTATTTTTCTTTAAGCAACAGCTGGAGGCACACTGGTTCACACATTTCACTTTTGCATGTTCGAGAAATGTCTCCAACTATACTGTAAACAACAATGTACGAAACGAAACGTAATCAGAAAACGAAAAATTGTTGGGCATGGATCTAATTGCTTACAAAGTTACGGTTTTAAAAACCATTGTTTTGTAATAGATTTACCTTTGTTGTTGGTGCCTGTGGGTTAGAGTTTTATATAACTCTATTTATTTTAACACCATGTGTAGTATCAAAGATTACATATGCTACGCATTTGCTTAGCATATGTAATCTTTGGTAGTATCTTCAGGGGTGATTTCATCTTCTTATCACTTACTATGTATACCGTCTATATTTAAAAAAATATATCCACCCATGCAGTCACTAATATGGGATATTGGGTTGATCGGAAAAAGACAGAAACAGGGCGGGGTCACAGCGATAGGTCTTGTGGGTAGTTTGGACTTTCCTGGCATGTGGGTGCTTTGATTTCTGATAGTGTTGCCGGTTTTAAAGCACATCTCTACAGAGGTCAAAGCACCAACCCGACCGAAAACCAGGAAACTCCAAAATCCCCAACGCAACCATCGAACTGCCCAAACGCCAACATCCCCAGTCCAAGGAATTAAATACCTCTTGCTGTGACTACGTGTGTGTCTGTGGTTGTCCGATCAACACGACACACGACAGCGATATTAGTGACCGAGTATGTGTAAATATTTTGAATAGACTATAGTGTGTTATAAAGAAGATAAGATCACAAGCTGGGCTACTGGGAAATCCGCCCTGGAAATATTTTGTAAATGTGACGAGCAAGGAAGAGCCCGAGCAGGACTGTGTGAAAATCCTATGGCACAGTACACACAAACTAACATACCGAGAACATACAGTAACACACCGAGAACATAATGATAGCGAGAGGGGTGGTGTTGGACTTTGCGTAGACATAGTGCTAGACACCACTTTTAGTATCTTTGAATGCTTCTCTGTGCCTCACTTTTAGGTCAGTGAAGTTGGCCCACATCCCATGAAAGCACTAACGATAAAAACTGTATTATCAATGGTTAGTGCTTCGTTAGTACTGGGTTAGTGATTTAACTCTCATCGTTAGTGCTCTTACGGTTCAGGAGCTATAACGAAAGAACTTTGGGGGGGGGGGAAACTTATGGAAGTGAGCCCCCCTCCTTATTAGTAGTAATGAGCACTAACTTTCAAAAACAGTATCAATGGTCAGTGCTACTATCGTACACAAACCGCCATGGAATTAGTAGCGCTAGAAATATTTATATTTGTTAAAAAGAAAAAAAGAAAAAAAATGTAAATTTTGTTTGTTAAATTTTTGTGAATCAATTGGACCTCGCCGACAAGTTTTGCAAACTTGGCGAGGCCAAGATTTTGTATTATCACAAATAAATATATTTGAATTTGCTCCAACTCCTATCGTTTGCTACTGTTCATCAGTTGCCATAGAAAAAAAAATGGGGGGGAACTTCACGGAAGTTAAACATAATTTAACAAAGCACTAATAAACATGAAATCTTTTCAAAAACCTAAAAAGTTGGGTTTATATTTATTCACTGAGGGGATAACTTCCAGATATGCCATTCTGTATCATTTTCAGGAAACGAGCTCATATTTTATTTCCGTCCCACCCTTGGGGAAGCACGCAATCAGTTAAAGAACTAAATTGTTGGAGCAATGGAGCACTAGCTATCGACCCCAGTTTCATAGTTAGTGCTCAAATATAGGTATTTTCACATGTTGTGGGGAGCTAAGCTTAGATTATACGAGAATAATAACCACATAGTTGTTTGCAATAGCCCCTCAACCTTTAAGAGCACTTAAGATGGGAGCTAGAACACTTAACAGCACTAGCGAAGCAGTTTTAGCGAATTTTCCTATAGGAATTAGCTATTTTGGCTATATCGCCTGAACCGTAAGAGCACTAACGAAGCACTAACCATATTGATCCGTTTTGAAAGGCGTAAGGCTCACATTACTACTGTGGGGGGGGGGGTTAACATTTGTGAAGTGGCCCCCCACAGTTTTTCCGCTACAGCTACTGAATCCTTAGAGCACTAACGAAGCATTAATCGATTAATCATTGATACTAGTTTTATCGTTTGTGATTTCCTCGTGGGTGGGGGGGGGGCAACTTCACGGACCTCTCACTTCTTTCTTTGTGGTGCAGCAAGTCAAAGTCAAAGTGTCCAATTATTTGAAATATAAACACCCACCCACTGAGCTAGAAATATAACTTGGAGCATTGGTGAGGGAATTACATGTCGTCAGGCTGCCATGTTGCAACCACTGAGCTATAATTAACTGGAGGTAGCACTGAATGTCAAAGATGCGTGTCGCCAGCCGCCATGTTTGCGTGAGGTGTGAGTTATAAGAAGCCGTTATTGGATAAGAAAACTCACTGCTATACCAACCTAGTTATAGAAGCCATGTTATTGGATAAAAAACTCACTGCTATACCAACCTAACAAAATCAGCGACACGCTTTTGACAGACTTCTGCTATGGCAGTGCTACCTCCAGTGTTATAATTTTAGCTCAGTGGTTGCAACGGTTGCAACCGAGGGGATAAGTTCTTTGAATTTGCTGAGTTGGCAATTGAAATTCCCTAAAAGCGTTATTTGAGTGCACTGTACATCGCCTCTCCTGTAAAAATGCCACTATCGTATACGTCAATAAATAAAGTCATTAAAATTAAAATATGTATGTGGTTGATGAACGTCAAGCAAGCTTACGGGGTTCTCTAAAAAAATAAGTTATTCTCTTATGATCATTAAACATGTATAAATAATATACATCTCCCTCGGACACGAACACAGAAAACATTAATACGGTACGAATACACGATAGACATTTAGATAGCGCTATCATAATACTGATTTGGTCCGGCGCGGCGCGGGGTTGGTACCACCGTTTTTGTAAAAAAAAAAAAAGAAAAAAAAAGAGCAAGCAAAGCAGACTGCGCCATCAGCTGATACTCGTGTCTGGAAACTGGAAGAAAGAAAGAAACAAAAAGTAAAGTAAACGTGTTGTTTGTGAATTTGATGAAATACTTAAATACTAAATTTTACAGTTGATATTTTATCTATTGCTGTTAAAACTAGTAAAAAAAGTTAAGTTGTTGCAATAAAATAAAGTACAATCAGGTTGAGCTGTATTAACTTATTCTTAAAAATATAATTTGTGAAAGTTACACCATTCCCAAAACGAAATGTCAGACTGGGAGACGGTAACCATTTTGCGCAAGAAAGCTCCTAAGGCTTCTCACCTTAAAAGTGAACAGGTTAGTATTACGTGGTTTAAGTATTTTGAGTTAAACAATCGCCTATAGACCTGGGTTTATGCTGAGCTTGGGTTATAAAACGTAACTTAAACTTAGGTCCTCTATAGAAAAAAGTAATCTAGGCCTAGGCTAGGCTAATATATTTTTTTGCCAAAAAAGGGAACTCAGGTTAGATTTTGCTTTCAAGTCACAACAGCTAGGGTTTAACCCTCAAACCGGCAGTGTGACTACATTCAGCATTGGCCTAGTCGCAGAAGAGTAGGATAGGACTGTAGTGACAGAGACTACCCTAGCCTATCATAGGCCTACTCTTATCCTGTACAGGTCTTTAAAACTTAAAATAACACAGAGGATTCACGTCCGGGGACGTGGATTAGGGGTCCCGCAGTTACTGTCATAACCTAACCTAACCAACCAAACTTGCTGATAATGAAAAAATCGTATGAAGGTTAAATTCCGGTCATGAAATAAAATTATAAATGCAAAAAATTCTAGCAAAAGATGTACCAGACTACCAGTACAGTTAAGAAGAAATTACTTTCAAAGCTAGAACCAGGGACCTCTTGCATATCAGCCGAGCACTCTATCCACTACACCACGAACACCGACATTTTGGCTGTACATCGTATCGTTGCACGGTTGTTGTTCCGGGCTCCCACAACCCGGTGACGTCACTGCCGGACACCTAATCCATGTCCAGTAACCGGACGAGTATCCTCTGCGTAAAAATGAATGGTTAAAAACTGTTGTAGAATTTTAAATACTTGCACCAATTGAAAGATAAGATTCTTAATTTTATTTCATAACTTACTGTACTTACATGAACTTGTTAACTTACAGTAGGTATCAAAAATTGACGTAACTTAGGCCTAAGACTTCTTGAGGTATAAGTTAGTTTAGCACAAAAGGCAAAAAACATTTTGAGCAGTCAGTTGTGCAATGTGTAACTTATGCATCAAATTTTCAAGAAATCAAAGGCCTAACAAGGCATTTTCTTTCTACAAAAAAACAGTGCTAAAGTAGCCTACCACTGTAACGGGAAATACATTTTTATACAGTGTAACTTGAACATTTTAAACATACATTAGGCCTACATTTCATGCTGTCAAAACAATGACAATTTAAGTTAGTCACATTTTACGTTTTTGTGAAGTGGCAGAGTTAGGCTACTAAGTTAGCCTAACTTATATTAGATAGGTACGTAACTTAGTTGCAGTCGTAAAACACAGCCTTAGCGTAAACTTATAATTAAATGTTCTCATCATTATTTCCCAACAAAATTCTCTTTAGTTGGTTACAATTTATTTGGTTTCAAATGGCAGACCTAACCTCCAATAAAATACATATGGTAGGTAGTTTATGTACCCAAGATTTTTTATAAACCTAAGATTAGGCCTAGTAACTTAAAATTTGTTTCTTCGTAAAATCTATTCCTGTTAAATCAGATTCTAACTTATTGTGGTTACACTGTTTTTCTTTTCCATTTAGGGAATTTCTCTATAGGGAAGTACCTAGGTATTTCCGTACTTGACACGGTAAGACCTAGGCCAGGACCCAATTTAGGCCCTACTTTTTAACCTCAGAAGCCAAAAATACTATCCGTTAAAATTTTATATATTTATACAAACAAATATAACTTTAACTTAGGCCTACTGTAGATTTATATATAAGCTACGGTATGATGTGTGTCCGTGAACGCAATAACTTAAGTAATTTTTGTCAGATTTTTACAAAATTTGGTTTAAAGGTGTAATGCGGTCAAACTTGAATGAGTTCGCAAACCAGCATGGTCGGACCATAGGAACTATAACTTGTATAGGTACCTCTGCTGCCTAAGTTAACTTAACTTAAGTTTACGTTGGCGTGAGTTAACGAAGGCAGCAGAGGTGTTTTCAAAATACGAAAACGGCTTGAATTGTAGGCCTATGTTTTAAGCTTTACAAAACTCTGTAGTCTATAGGTCTTTAATAAGCCCTTCCAAACGGAGATACTGTTTGTTGTACTTTAATAGCCTTTAGGCTAGGTACTCCTTTCAATTGAAATGGCGACCATAAGAAAGTAGGCTAGAAATGTTAAGCCAAGTATGAATGGAGTTAAGTAAAGGAAGAGTGGCACGATCTTTGTAGTCTCTTCACATGGTCTTGTAGTCTTCTTACTGAATAAGGCCGACATGTTCCATGGATAGGAGTGTTAATTAATAGCCCATACAGCCAATGGCAACTTCCAATGACTTGTGTATTATAAGTTCTAAAGGAAATAAATTGATCTTATGTCTTATGTCAACTAAGAGACCTACAGTTTTTATACTGGAATCCGAACCACATTTTTGCCTTGTAATCTACAAATTAGTGTAATTATAGGGATATTCTGCTGATAGTTGTAAAACTCACTAGTACCGACGTTAATCCAGACCAAGGAATATCGCATCCACAAATCGTGCTTATAAATATTCAAAATTTGTTACTTCCAAATTAGTTGGATTACGGGTGTCATGAAATAATTACAGACTAGGCCAACCCCATGATCTTTAAAGTAAGTTACACTAGATTAGGCTTGTGTATTTTAAGGGGACCTAAGTTGTGAAGAAAGTAAAATGGCTAAGTTAGCGTATTATATCTAAGAATCTGATATTTGAGGTGACCAACTTTTATGTGCTGTGGCACTTGGTTATGGCACTTGGGTTTTTATTAGCCTTTACCTCTGAATATTTCATGCTGCTACAGTCAGGTCAGGAACATCTACCAATCATCTTAAACTTACTAAACTTAACTTTCAAAACAGTCCCGAGCTAGAGCCCATCGTTCTAGGATGTGAAGGTAGGATGTGAATAAACAATTAATGGCCCCGTGCCAAAGTGTGGGTCACTTCCATTGAAAGTTTGCTAAAAATGAGAACTTAAAATGTCTATATTTACCTTTAAGATTCTAAAACATGGTTTCAATAACTTATAATACATAAACACTATTTGTCCTTAATGAGTGGTTACATATTCTCCTCTCTTTGTAATAATAGAGAAGGTAAGTTCCAAATTATTAAATTTCGCTTGGCTTCAACATGAACTTATGATCGATATCCTTTGCCAAACGATAATATAATATAAACATATACCTATCAAGACACTTGAAGAAGTCTTTCACTCATTCAACTGTATGATTTTTCGTTAACACTATTTCACTCAACTTTTCCCACATATTTTCAGCAAAAGTCTGCAGATCATGAAACCTGTCCAGCTGATCCTTTTGTAGCTTTATCATATCAGAATACATCGTAGGATCCAGATCCTGGGTGATAAACCGAGGCATCGACTTGTTCCACAACCTTTCTGCTTCGTCCAAAGTGGTCGTCCCTTGGTGTACTTCCAGTATAAAATTTTCAAAACTCTTAATGTAAAAATTGATTTTTTCTAACACTTTTTCCCAGCCATAAAGAGTCGCTGGATCATATATGTTCCGGAATATTTCATCATCAAACTTTTTAAACTCGTCAGCATTTTTCAAGAAGTTATCGGCAAGGCATACTGCGAGTAGAGCCGCAAGAATACCACGTAAAAACATGATTTGTTTGAAAGGCCATACAGACTGTATCGTTATAAGACGGTTCACAAGTCAGTGTCTCTCAATACAATATGTAATCTGTAGTGATTATCAGATTCACTGCCAATTATGTAACTTTTGAATGTGTAAAAATATCTAAATTAGCCTTTGTTTCTCAGGTGTTTACAAGCAGGTATGGTTTGGTACGATATGAATGAATGTAGCCTAATACAACATGGGTAGGCCTACTACTAATTTAGGGTTTTACCAAAATTATCAAATGATGAGATTTTCTAAAAAGCATTGATGATCATAACAACCGACAATTTAAAACTATGTCATCATTATTTTAGAACAAACTAATAAGCATTTTTCCAAACACACTGCCTACCCTTGATCCATATATTATTTATTTGTCTAAAATAGTTATAAATACTTCCTAATCTTGTTTAGATTTAATTATGTAGCCTATGAGTTTACCAATAAAACAGGAATGATTGGGTATTTAACATGACCTTAATTTTAATCTCTAACTAAAGCGGTATAAATACAACCGCAGCGATACAATAGATGTTATTGGTCAATCAATATATTTAGCACTTGAATGTCACAGCTATCTCCTGAAGATAGTGGAGTTGTTGACTATATTGCTATTTTTTATTTAATAAAATAACAACCAATTTAAACAGTAAATCTAAATATTATTTTTTAAGTATAAGTCAGGTTATTGGAGCATTAAAGTTAAAGTTGTTGCTTACTACACTCAGTGCAGCACCTGTACAGTTGGTACGCCACTATTAGGCCTAACAAGTAATTAAACAGTGTGTTGCTGTGTGCATGTGTTTCAAACGTCAGAAGCTGATCAATACAAGCTTTAAACGTATTCAGGATGGATAAATTATTGAAATTAATTATAAATTATCTGCGGACTGATAATCTGCAGGCAGATATATCTGCCGATTGTTACAACAATTAATACTGTAGTCGTTTGTCTATAATAACTTAGTAAAATCGTCCTTTTATTCAATTATATCCTCAAATGATGTACTATGAATGTTTTTCATGAAGAACAAGACATTTTCCCCCTTGCTGCCTGTGTTTATGGCATTTACGCCCCAAGTTAACCTTTCGCGGCAAAAGTTAGTCTTTACAGTTTTTCTCTTTTTCTCTCTGTGATAAGTGAAAATGAAAATGTATAAAAATGAAATCAAAAAGAAATATTTTTTGGATGGAAATAAATTTGATCTTTTAAACCTATTTACTCAGTTTACAGTGTGTTCCCCACAATTGGCGGATATATCCGCAAAACATATTTTTCATAAATTAACCCGAATTAAGTTCTAAAACATTATTTTGGACGTGCTACATAGGTCAACTATTTATATAATTCTAAAACTTATGATATAAAAATATATTTTTTAGTTTCTGTCCAAATAAAGTAATTTTGTTGGCCACCTAGGAAGAGTTTTAAGTTTTCCAACTGTGTAAGAACAGGTCTTAAACAAAAAGAAAACTTTGATTTAGGATGTTATATTTTATTATGTTTTCTAAATATAAGCCAACTCCTATCAACCAAATGTTTGGTTATAAAGTATATATTTTATCGTTCTTGTCTCTTGTTCCAGGCTGTGAACAGAGCCAGAAGGGAAGGCGCCCCTGTGGATACCCAGCAGAAGTGTAAGTGCTAAAAAAGTTTTTAAAAATATTAAAAGACAGACAAAAAAAATGTAATTCAACAAGAGACCATTTAATTTCACTACGACAACGAAGAATAATTTTTAGTTATTACTGCAGCAAAAACAGATGGGTTTAATACATGAGTTGTGTGTCTGAATTAGCTCTTTTACTCCCCAAAGAGTAAAAGTCAGCTGTTGTAAACTCAGTTACAAACTTCACTTTGTAAAGATTGATTTAATCGGCTGTAGCTTATTGTTGCATTCTTGATAGTTGACTTATTGATTGTAGAAGTAGCAATAGTAGTTTGTGTACACTAACACAATTGTAATAGACAAAATTATTAATCACTTACGAAACAGCTGCTTGTTTGCTAAGCGAAATCGAAAACATGTTGAAAATCGTTTGAGAGGTTATCTTTACATGAAAATCGTTTGTTTTTTAACTTACTTTGTTGAATAATATTGCAATATGTCGAAAAATATAGTTTATCACACGGGAAAAAAGTGTCTTCCCAACTCTTGCTCGTTTTCCGAAACTTGTTGAATTTGGTGAATCTTGGGTCGAAAGAGTCATTTTACGTCCGAGTGTAGAACACTATTGCCTAATTATACATGGGTTTAACAAAAGAACATTAATAAATAAAATACAACATATGGCAGTTAATTAATATTAACCTTTGGTGACATTTTATACAATAGTAGGCCTATCACAAACGCTTTTGAAGGAAAGTGATCAAAAACTCCTAACTGTTTTTGTGCTATTGAAATAGTGGTGGTGAACTCAACAAAACAAAAATTTCAAAAATGCAATTAGCCAATGGCTATGTCTTACTCCAACAGCATTTTGAAAAGTATTTGTAAAAACCTCTTATAACATTGTATAATAGAGTACAATATTTTCAATAGTATTAACTTAAAATATTGGTTCAAACCCTGTCAGTTTAACACATTTTTTTACAGGGGGAGGAGGACAAAATAAGCAGCATGTCATAACGAAGAACACTGCAAAGCTAGACAGGGAGACGGAAGAACTAAAACATGATAAGATTCCCTTGGATCTCGGAAAGACTATACAACTGGGTCGTCAGGCCAAGGGGTGGAGTCAGAAAGATCTGGCCACTGTAAGTCCATGTTTTTGAAATAATTAGTATGACATATTATTAATAAACCCTAGTTTCGGGAGCGTAGCGAACGAACTTCAACCTGGAGGCGAGTTACCGTAGCGAACGAGCTAACCTGAAGGCAAGTGAGCGCAGCGAACGAGCTCCAACCTAAAGGTGAGTGAGCGAAGCGAACCAACTTCAACCAGGACGTGATTGAGCCATGCGAACGAGATAATCTTGAAAATTAAGAAGTTAAACGGGGCAAAGCCCGCAGGTTACAGCTAGTTATTAATAAACCCTAGTTTCGGACAGTCTATGCTGAACCAAAGGGTTGGGTTCATGTTCTAATACGGGTGTCGTTCACCGGTGTGAAAGCTGGTCCTTTATTCTACCGCTTAACTTGAGTTCACACAAAGGGAACCAGGTAGCCCAATTTAGTTTTCTTCAATATTAGTAATGCCACAAAAACAAGGCAAAATTGTGGTTTGTCTTAAAATTTCTGTTTGGTAGCCTATGTACCAAATTTAATGCTAATCGGTCAACATTTACACATTTTATGAACGGTGATTTTTTTATGGTGGATTACGTGTGGATTTATTAGTTGCTTACTGTTTTCACAATCCAGATTTAGCCTATTATTGCTCTACGGCTGTTTTGGAGGTTACTCCATCGTCGAACACATAGTGGGACACTAAACTAAATGATTGTATTTACAATTAACAAGAAATGTTTCAATTTTCATTGTGTCAACAGTTAAATAAATATTACACAGATAGAACATACGACTCTAACCGGGCTGTATTTACCATTTGGGCGCACATAGGCCCAATAATTTTTCTGTCCCCTAGTCTGGTTAAAAGTTACTTTACTGATAGGCCTACTGTAAGCTGATCAAAATATTGGTTTTTGGTTTATAACTGGTTCTATTCAATTTAGTCATTTGCAAAAATAAATATTGAAAAAAATACTGACAAGACGCCAGCTAATTTATTGTGAGGCAAGGGTGGTACTGGTAACATTAACACGCGCATGTACCCCTATTCACTCCAAGCAGCAGCGCCAGGCCAGCATGGTGCCAGTGGCAATACAATGTGTACCGCTCGAAGACGTCCCAGAGCCAATTCTGTGTTTGAGATCAACGTTGAAGTTGTTGTGCAATGTTGAAAATTAGTAAATTTACCAACAATTATTTGTTCCTATGAACTTCAAAATCAAAATACTTTTTTGGCCTGATTTTAAAAATCAATTAAAAAAAGATGTTAAGTTATACATTTTTATTTTTATTCCTAGACATTTTTTTACTTTTTTTCTCTTGGGAGCTTGCACACACAAGCCCAGGACTATTAGGACATTAAATGTGTAATCTAAATATAACAGTTACATGTTTGTCAATTTCAGAAATGTAATGAAAAACCCCAAGTGATAAACGATTATGAGGCTGGACGAGGGATCCCCAACCAGGCTGTCATCGGCAAGATAGAACGGGTCCTCGGTAAGTTGGGGTTTAGAATAATTTATAGCTCTCTATATTACACATACAGGGTGGTAATAAAGTCTGAAGACGAAGACAGTTAAATATTTAAAAAAATAATGTAGATAGAACTACAATACTTGGTACAAAGTTACAGAGCATAAAACTTGATCTTAACACATATTCAGTGATCCAATAACTCTTCAGGTGGACGGCCCACAAGGAGTCGGAAGAAAATCTTAAATGGAAGCATAGGTCAATATGCACATCAAATGAAAGGTCTTTTTTAATAGAATACAATGCTGCAAATCGCACTTAAAAACATTGATACTGCGCAAAATGGCAGCCGTTCAAAGATTTCTTGAATCTGCCATTTTGAATCTTTGAATGACTGCCATTTTTTACTCTGGCGTTCTTTTGAGCTTGAATTTACGACATTGTAATCTACTAGTGAAGACCTTTAATTTGATGTGCACATCGACCTATGCTTACGTTAACAATTTTCTTCCGATTCCTAGGGCTGTGCCCCCTGAGGAGTAAGCGTATAATAGCAATGCAAATTAAATGAATCTTTGAACAACTGTCATTCTTAGCTCGGTTGTCCGTTTGAGTTCAAATTTGCGGCATTATATTCTGCTAGTAAATACCTTTAATTTGATGTACATGTTGATGTCAACCTATGTTTCTATTTAAGATTTCCTTCTGACTCCTTGCGGGACGTCCCCATGATATGACAGAAAATTGATATTTCCTAAAAAAGTAGATTTTTAGGTGTGGTGTTGATGTACCAAATCTTATAGATTTATCTGTTGTCGTTTAGAAAATATTTAACTGTCTTCGGACTTTATTACCAACCTCTATACTATTCATGCATTCTACCTTTTACCTCTAAAGAAGCCGCTGAAAGGGGCGAAATATCAGTTTAATGTGTACTTTCGATGTGTTCTATTGACCTCCTGAGACTTCTTTATTCAGGTGAGTTAGGTAGTTGTTTATCCTTCCTTTCTCCTTAATAATTATTACAACGCCAAGATGCTTTTTTCCCTTAAAAAAACTAACCTTTTGTTTTAAAATGTATTTTTGGCTCAGTTTTGTAAGGTTTAATCAATATTAGCCTAATTGTAATGTTCTTAAAACATGTACTAGTTTCTTTTAATTTAAAACTTAGTTATTTGACAATTTAAAACGTAGTTATTTGAAATAATTGTCTGGGGAAATAGAAAATGTAGTAATAAGATAATATACAATCTTGATTCTGTGATGCTCTCAAGTAGTCTCAGTGCTCGATTTGTAAAAAATAAGATGCCAGAATTGTAACCTACCAAGAATTATGACCCCCACCCCTATCCACCCTCAAAGAATTGTTAAAAGGTACCAGAACGCCGTTTGGCGTAGTCTTACCAAGTAGTGTATCTTGTTAAGTAGTATAAACTAATTTTTTAATGGTCCTATTCTTAAATTTATTACTGGAATTGTTAATAACTGTCACATAATATGTTTCAGAAATAAAACTTCGGGGGAAGGATATGGGGAAACCCCTAGTTCCCAAAGAAAAGAAGTGAATTCCTTAGGACCTAACCTGATCTCAACCACTGTTCATTAACCTCTTGTTAGTTCTACTGGAAGAAACGTATAGACAGAAGACCATCCTCACATTAGACGAACATATTCCTTCAAGTTGATATACTTCTAATAACTGTTGTTTTGTTATTTTTTTACTTCCAATATTTGATAAATAAAATTGATCTAACAACGGTAGAAATGTGAATAAATTCTTAACTTGCTCCGTTTGTAGAAAGTAGTTATTATCTAACATCCTTGACTTTGTCTGAAGCAGACAAAGTTTCTTCATGGGCTTTTTTACCAAAGAAGAAAGGTACATAGGAATATGCTAATGGGACAACTGTGCGCTTTCAGCTCTGGTATGTTGGAGCGGAAATATACTTGTGACGAGCAAGGAAGAGCCCGAACAGCGAGCACTGTAAGAAAATTCCTATCAGACAGGGCACAGGGTCTTCCTCCACCGTGAGCGTTGTAGTACATGAGGGTGGGGAGGTCCTGGACGCCAGCACAAGTGCTAGACACCACTTAAGTGTTCTAGACACCAGCACAAGTGCTAGACGCCACTTAAGTGTACCTTGTAATGTATCCTCTGTTCCTTACTTCTCTTTAATATTACTCCAAGAGAAAAAAGTTTATGAAATGTTGTGGGATGCTACGTTGATTGTAATCTTGAATTTTCCTTTTTCAAAGACTGGGCTATGATCAATAATGGATAACAGTTTTTACAATTTATTGAAAGAACTGTCTTATCACCTTCTGCACCCTTTCCCTGTTGACAAACCCCAATGAAGTAATTTTAAAGTCAATTTATATTGTTTGTCTTGATTTAGTTGATGGGAAATAACAGTAGTAAAATGTCAACTAAGTTAGTAGAAGATTGAGATTGATCAGACAACTGAAGTTTTTGAAAATAAACAACTTTATTATTAAAAGCTAGATCCTTACTATTTCTTGATTTTTAAGGGTCTAAAATCTAAGTAGTCTAGTTTACAATAGTTTTATTAGGAATGTCTGGGTGTTTATATGCCACCTAAAGTGATAGCTACTTCCCTATAAGGGAAATTTGCTATAATTACATTGTTATAAATCCTAATGCAGAAATTGTGTTCAGGTTGAGATAAGATTACACCTCATCTCTCCAATTACCCTTTGTGCGCTATTTGATCTGGTGTCGGATTGAAAATAAATATTATGCGTTTAGATGTTTTGTGCAAAGTCGATCCTGCTGATAGGCAAATTTTCATAAATTTTAGCTAGGCAAAGGAAAGTTTTGTAAGTAGCAATAGTTCACTTTTATAGATATATTTGTTTTACATAGAATATTTTGGGTGGTAAATGTAGAATAGAGTGTTCAAAATCATGTCGATCATAAGGAAGAACTAACCTGATGCAATCAGTGAACAATTTATTATTTACAATTTAAACATTTTACCTTATAAGAGAGAAAGGAATTCCTGGAATATATTATCAAAGATTACATATGCTAACGCAAAATTTTGCGTTAGCATATATAATCTTTGATATTATTAACTGTATAAGATACAGAATAAATTAAAATTACTAAGACAGAAGAATATGTCTGCTTTACTTCACTAAAACAAAGTATTTCTTTTGATTTTTCCAGAATTTTCTCCATCAACCCATTAGTGACCATAATAAGGTCATAAGGTTCAGGCTTGAATACTTGCACAACAAATGCTTCCAATTTTAATGCTTTAATCATTTCACAGGTGCAAAATCCATTGTAATACAAATTTTTGTTGCATCTAGGCTTTTCTCAAACAGGTATTTTACTTCAACTTTACGGTAGTAAAATTTTATAGTTTTAATGCTCAAGGATTGTCTAATCAAATAATTGCCAAGACGTCCCTGTAAAGGATTGTCTAACAAGGTTTATCCATTGTTTGCTGTCCTACTAATTCATAATTTTACTGTAATACCTTAATTGCCTGTCAACAGGCCAGTCTTTTTGTAATTTAGGAATAACTATTGGTTTTTTGTGAGATGTCTTATCAATATAATTTGGTATTTTATTCTTGTATTCCTATCTTATCTTTTCTGGTATGGGTTAATTGGAGCTCAGGCCTCAATATTATAAGGTGTTTTATCCCAATTTGTTAGATTGTTGTGCCCCAGTTAGTTTAAGAAGTATTCTATAAAGTGGCCTTCAATTATCCAGGCACATGATGAATGCCTGCTTTCTACCAATCAGTTTCTCAGAAAGGTGACTTCTCCCCTACAAGATTGCCAATTAATAGCTGTCATTCCTTGAGGAACCTCAATGATGAACTCCTAACAGTTGTAAAGCAGGAGATCAGATCAGGCATTCCCTGCGGCTGCACCTCCAACATTCTACATACTACCGTAGCGACATTATCACCGTGAACCCATTTCTCATTACTCGGCAAGACCAATAGGTAGTTAAAGGTGGCCGTGCCTATAGACTAAACAAGAAGGTATATATGGTCTCCGGTGGTACTCCCTTATCGTGAAGCAGTGGTAGCAGTCCCCATTATACTTGTAGAGGTGTGCCTCTTTCCTCCAAACTATGTTCTTCTGTCATTCTTCTGTTGCAGAAAATAGCAGTAAGAATTGTATGTAATGCCCAACACCGAGCCCATTGCAAACCATTGTTCAAACTGTGTGGTGCAATGACTATTGTTAATATTTACATTTTTCAGTGCCTAGTATCATAGATAAAACATACTCCCTTGTGTTGGTTAGTCTATGCTAGTAGCAATCAAAGATAATGAGATTGTATTTCTGACAAACAGCGACATCCATATGTATAATACAAGGAATAGAAATAACTTTCACATGAACAGATCTAGGTTGAGTTTGTATTGTTATCCTGTTTCAGGGATGAAATTTTTCAATCGCCTCCCATCAGCTGTAAAAAACCTGTGTAAAACTAAAGTCTGTAAAAACCATTTTAGCTCAGTGGTAAAAACCATAAAATCATGGCTTTTGTCAAACCCTCTATGAGTTTTTCGAAGCAGATCTCTCTAGCATGATTAAGGAAAGATAGCACAAGTGTGGGGGCTGAAAGCAAAAGCTGCAAAGTCCAATTTTTTTGGAAATTGAGTTATTGGTACCACTGTGTGCTCCACTGCATCTTCTTTTATAAAATGAAAACCTTGGAAGCAAAATCAGCTCAGAAATATTTATTTTATATCTTTGAAAAGTGGCCTTAAAAGCAAAGTCTGCAAAATCCCAGTTCAATAGTTGACATTTGAGAAGCAAAATCAGCAAAATCCAATTCCACCAATCAGAGTCCTTGGGTCAGTCACGTGACCACCTTGAGTAATGGCTGCTTCTTGTTGATGTTTGTGTCTGTGTTGTTGATGTGTGTGTTGAATAAGTAAAAGAAGTTAATTAATTACTAAGTTTATTAAACTATTATAAGTTTAAACAGTTTGTAATGGAACCTGACATAGAAAACGGTATTTCCCCTGTGTCGCCTAGTAAAGCTCGTAAAAGGCCGTGTCGTCCTGAAAAGTGGAAAAGGAATGTCGCTAAGAAATTAAGGTTAGTGCACCTATAACTCCCAAGAGTAGGCCTAGTTATTTTTTGTAATTTCTTGCATTGTAATCCTAGTCGAAGGACTGAAATGTTAGCGTTGCCGTACTTTCAACATGGTTTTCGTACGGTAATATTATTTAATTTCTTTATTACAGATATCAAGCACACGAACTGCCACAGCGTCCTTTGTGTGGTCACCATACCAAGAGCTATCGATGTAGTGTACTAACAATGAAGCAATGCTTAGATTTTTTTACCCTTTTTTATAAAAACAAAGATAGAGAGTCACAAAACAATTTTATTTTGCGTTATACCCAATCAAAGCCAGTACAAAGGAGAAGGCCTAAAACCGATGAGAAAAATCCAAAAGCTTTTCATACAAAGTTTTTTGTGAGGAAAAATGATGCTGATGACAGGATTCCTGTATGCCAAAAGGCATTTTTACAAATCCTTTGTATAAAAAGATCACAAGTTGAGTTTGTGTCAGCAAACTTTCAAAAAAATGGGTTTATTCCCCAAGAAACAAGAGGAGGAGATCATGTGTCAGCAAAGTTCAATGAGAAGAGGCAGTCAATTATCGAGTTTGTTTCTTCTTTGACTTGTAGTGACGTGCACTATTGCCGTTCACAAAGTGGGCGCAAATATTTACCTGCTGAGCTTAACATAGCAAAACTGCATAAAATTTACAATGGAAAAGTTGAGGAAAATTTGAAAGTGAAAGAATCTTACTTTAGGTATATTTTCAACCGGAAATTCAACATTGGATTTGGCAGCCCACGTTTGGACATGTGTTCAACTTGCATTGAACTGAAGGAAAGGATGGAACTAGAGCAAAACCCTGAGAAAAAGAACGACCTCCTCGTTCAAAGAACAATACACAAAAAGAGAGCAAAAGCGTTCTATGATCATTTGAAAGAAGAAGACCCCGAAGTATTGAACATATCGTTTGACTGTCAGAAGAATTTACCCTTACCCAAAATCCCTGATCAGGAAGTTTACTATAGGCGGCAGGTTTATCTTTATAATCTCACTGCTGTAAAAGGTACTTCCAAAGATAAACTAACAAAAGAAAACTGTACCAGCTATTTATGGACAGAAGATCAGCACAAGAAAGGATCAAGTGAAATCTCGTCATGTATCTTTCACTTACTAAACAATACCGATTTCAGCGGTAAAACAAAACTGCGACTCTTTGCGGATGGATGTGGGGGACAGAACAAAAATCAAATCCTCCTTGCTATGTGCTCAAAATGGCTTTTGGAAACCCCATCAACTATTCAACGTGTAGAAATCATTTTTCCAATCCGTGGCCATTCATTCATGCCACCAGATAGGGTTTTTGGCCACTGTGAAAGCAAATTTAAGTCACTGCAGCAAGTAGAAAACCCGGAGAAATATGTGGAAATCATATCAAATTTTTCCACTGTAGTTCATGTAGGTATCGATTGTGACGTCCAAGATTGGCGAGAAGAAGCATACAAAGTTTTTAAGCCAGTAAATACTTGGCATTTCAAGTTTGCACCAACAAAAAAGTTTTTCCTCAAGAGATCTGTTAAAAATAAAAAGCAGGTCGTGGTGAAGGGGGAACACTTTTACTATCATGAGACATGCAAGTACAGATTTCTGACGAAATCTAATTTTACAATAGACGACATTAACCCTAAGTTGATTTCTACTGGAAGGGTTGGTTTGGTGAAAAAGGTGAAACTCACG